AATATAAGAAGTACTGGGGCCTTTAAATATGTGTAATATAAACCAAAGAATCTTGGAGCAGATGGTGAACAAATTTGAAATAAATACTTCAAATATTAGTGATCTAAGGTTTTATTGTTCAAATGTGTTCAGCACCAAGTCTAGCTTAAAAGTCATATGCTGCCTCGTGCCACAGAGGGACTATTGAACATTTGGACTGGATTACTGAGTGGCAAACAAATATTTTTTCTCTTCCCTCCTCCCCCAAATCTGTTTAAAAATGAAGAGAGATTTCATTCTAAACATAATTGCTAACATAATCCCATGCGAATAAAGTTAACTAACCCTGGAAAAATAAACAGATGACTAACTTTAATCAGAGAAATGAAGTCATCATTATGCTTGGTTTATAAAATAGATTTCCATTGTCAAAGATAACATAACAGGAGGGTTTTTTTGTTATTTTGGTTTGTTTATTTTCAGTTAGCTGCTCTACTGTAGACTGTTTAGGTCCATCCCTGAATTACTACCGCATTTATTGTCTGTCTTTTTAACTGTTGCATTCTCTGAGTTTCAAATTTCTCAGCATGAGCTGTCTGCTTAATTCTATCCAAGTAGTGTGTAATGAGAAAAGAATTTTCCCTGTCTACAATAATATAGCTTATTTTATTTCCTGAACCCAAACCACCTGTTCAGTTTTTCTATTTAAAGCTTTGTAAAGCAACAGACTACCTCAGTACATTTGTGCTGAAATGAAAGGCAGTCGGAACGACACTGCGACTTCTTTAAACTCAATCCAATAAAAAGCATCACCTATAGAGCAGCTTCTTGGCTCCACGGTCAGATGGGGTTCACGCCATAAAATTCTCAAGAGAAGTTAAAAGTGACTTTCTTATTTATGTGAAATCTACTCAAAATATTTCAATATTTAATTCTGTAAGAGATTTGGGGGTAAACAGCAATAAATGACTATACAGCAATAAATGACTATAGAAACTCTTTTAGTTTGAAACCTCCAAATCTTTATAATCGTTAAAAGTAACTGTATTGACTTTGTCTGGGCCTGAAATATAAATCTAGGACAAATCAACTTACTACAGTATCTTCATGACCAGTCTACTCTAAGCATCTATCTTGGTGATAAGAAATGGCTCATCTGAAAAACTACATTCTAAAAAAATATGAAAGACAAGCAACTACGTCCAGGCAAACATGACTCCAAACTAAATACTGGACTTTGCCTACTACCATAAAATAGATCATCTTCCAAAGTCTCTTTAAATTTCTACTTTTTACATCATCACAGCTCAAATGTGGTTTGAATTCAACAGAACAAGGGCAATGGAATAAATGGGGAGTAAATGGGCTGTTTGTTTTTCAAACTTCCCCCCTTATATTTGTCAACTTTTTCACTTTGTCATTTAAATGCACGTCTCAAAATATAACCTTTAATATGATTTTTGGATTGAGGAAAAGCATCATTCAGCCTTTCTTGGATATTTGGGGAAGAGGGATAGGCCTAACTACTGCCATGATTACAGCAAAAAAAACGTTTATCAGATGCAAGGCTTATTCTTCTGAAGACATAAGCGAGGGGAGGTGCAACTTTTTATAGAGAGTACAAATCTAGGAAAAGAGAAATAAGAAATCTATAGGTACATGTGGTTACAAAAATAGGTTTGTAAATAAATAGTAATTTTGCTTCGTGTCTCTTCGGCCTACTTAACTGCTAAATTTATCAACCTCTCTCTCTCCCACATATCTGTAAATACAAGGGAAGGAGGCTGGGATAGGTATACATAGCTTTAAGTATATGTTAAAGTGGAAATTATTCTTCTTTAACCACCCAGACAGAGCAACAAATTAAAACAGATCTTCTTTTCATGTTACACATTAGACCTACAATATGTAGGCACCTGAACTCCTAATAAAGTAAAAAGCTTTCCTTTTCCCCATTCCAGTTAATTATTTTCAAATCTGTGTAGATATAACACTTTCTTCCTTCCTTTTCATTAGCTCATGAATGTCTGCAAGACAGAAGTTCTGGTCTGATAATACCTGCTGAAGCACAAAACCCCTCCTGTGGATGCCAATCCTGTGCCAGTGAGATTTAAATGCTGGAGCTGGTTCAAACACCTATGAAATTTTCAGATAAAATCTTTATTAAAACAAGTTAGGATTGAAAGTGCATTTCATGGGAGTTCCTGTAACCTCACCAAAACATTATCATTTCCTTGCAAAACCTCTACATGCTTTAAATAATTAAATAGCTGGAATTTGAGAAACAGATTGGACTGCTTGGTTATCAATGCCACACATTGCTTTGCTATTTACTTCTGTTACAATTTACATGTAGTCCTAATCTAATCCTCAAATTTTCAAAAATATATACAAAGATAGAAACTTCTTCAGGGATTATGTAATCCTGCTTCCCTTTTTGAAGAAACCCATTTACGCAAGTACATACGAAGTTATTCACAGAGTGACCATCTTAACTGAAATTAAAACTAAAATACCTAGAATTGTATATCTCATTAAAACAGTCATTTCATCTGTATTTGTTAATTATTCTTCCATGCCATCATAGTCAGCTGCAAAAAGACTTAAACCAACTCTAGCCTCCATTTTTACCAGCTACTAGATTCTGAATGAAAACTATGTTTATGGTAAAAATAAAAAAATAATATGGCCTTAAACTTCCTTTGTAGCTTAAAGAGCCAAAGACTGACTAGATGCATCTTGCATGAGAATAATTATTGTCTTTGAACATACTTTTGGGAAGTGCTAAATCATAGGCACCTCCACCTCATCTACCTTCTCTTCTGTCTCTTTACAGGCAGTTTTGCCATCCTTACATTGCTGAAGCTTTAACTAAATGGAAATTAAACAGGAAATCACACTACATACTGACATTAATTCTTCATTATATATTACTAGTAAACAAAATTCACTCATTATCACTTATTACTTATAAAAGGATGGAGTTTCACTGAAAAGGGTGGGGAGATTTAAAACAAGAAAGAAGACGGTGGTAATGAAAGATCATTTAGTAGATAGCTGAAACCACGACACTGGTTTATAGTTTTTGTCTATAAACATAAATACAGGCGATTCTGAACTTATTCTTTAGGTAAATGGGGTATTGCAGTAAAGAAAGTTATCTAATAAGTAAAACTGTCTTTAAAGATGGTTATTTTTGCAAAGAATAAGAAAATGACATTTGATTTGATTCTTCAAAAAGTAATGTCTAATGTCATGCAACTACTACATAGCTACTCAGACATTAATGTTTCAGAACCAAGTCTTAACTGAATTATACTAAATCTGTTTGTAATAGATTGGATGAAGTATCAATTCGTGTCACAATTAGTAAAATCAGTTTCCTTCCAAAAAATACCCACTTCTTTGTATTGATCCTTATTTTCCTGTCAAGTGTTATTTAAACTCACCCTAGACCTTATTTGCAGCTGCAGAAATACTAAGCTGTATTAAATTGGAAATGAAATGAATGCTGCTGCATATCACTTTACAATACATGGGCACATGGAGGTGCCATGTTTGTGCACTTATGCAATGTGATATGATAAGAACTCTCTGTAGATGCATGTTATATGATTATCATTACTGCCAAAATAACAAGCTCTAAGCAGAGTGCCTGGAAATATCCGAAACAGTCTTGAAAAGACAAATGACCTCCTTCTCTGTCTTCCTAAAACCACAGCAGTTAAACAGATCGTGGAAAAACTTTGGTACCAATGACTCATATGAGGCACAAGAAGCTTAGAGCAATAGTCGTAATCCTCATTACCAAACATAGCAGATATCAATTCATTTTTATTCTGAACTTCTGGACAGCTTTCCCTCTTCTGTTATTTCAACCATTCAAAAGTTAGCTTTTTTTTTTTTTTTGCTTGAGTTTTAAAATGATAATGAGGCTACGATGATATACATCATCTGCAGAGAAAACTTCTTTGTCAGGTGACACTCTAACATAGTATGCTGCATAGCACTGAAGGTTTCATCACGCCTACCTATGGAATGTCAACAATTACCACACTCAAGCGGAAGCTGCCTATCTCCAGAGAAATCTTAACAAGCAAAGACAGTAAGAAACACAAGGGGCCCAAAAAGTCCCAAAGAGCATTAAACTGTATCCTCTTAGGCTACAAACGTGTTCTACAAAGTACAGACATATGAACTATTTAAACCTCTGAATTCCATATGTATGAGTCAGTACTGAGCACAGCAACAGCAACCATCGAAAGCAACAGTCCCAAATATTTGAATTAATTTAGATATAACGAATTGAACAAGATCTACAGTGCAGTTATTAAACTGAAGTCCCTGTAGGGACTTCAAACATAGCACAACATACAGTGCACAAGAAAAGCAATTTCATAAAAGTAATATCTTGAACATAACATTTTGAAAAAGATGCTGTGAGCAAAAACTAGAGCAGAGATTCTCCGTTCACCACCTTGAATTTTTCTGTTCATCTACGCATCTCTCTCAAAGTCACAGATCTACAGAGTTTCCAACACTGGCTTTACTCTCTCAAATGCCCTTTCAATCACAGCTTTAAACCTGCCTCTGTTGAGTCAATCACCTTTCAGAATCACTAATGCTAATGGTTAGAAAGGTCTATACTTTTAAGTACATATAGTATATATGCTATATAGTAAAGTATACTTACATACTTTAAAAGAATAATGTAACTGAAATAGAAAATCGTGTTTTCCCCAATAGTAGTTTTAGAAACAGCCAAAATACTGTATTACCCAGTAGGACAGATAGTATCATAGTAGAGATTGGTACTACACATACACACTCAGAGGCAATAACACACACAGATGGAGTGACTCCAGCCAATGGAAACCACTGAGCAGAACTTATAAAAGGCATTCAACAACAGCACAGCTTAGGCCTGTGAACTTTGATGACTTGGTTGCTACGCATGCTATCTTTTTCTTTTTTCTTTTTTTTTTTTTTTTTTACCTTAAAGCACTCATTACCATACTTACACTGTGGTTTTCATGAATTCATAGAGCACCAGGGGGGAGCAAGTAGGGTCAAACTCTAATTCTTCCCACGAGCTGTATAGAAAGGAGAAACGCTTGCAGACAACAGGAAACAGCTTAGGCCTGTGAACTTTGATGACTTGGTTGCTACGCATGCTTTCTTTTTTTTTTTTTTTTTTTTTTTTTTTTTTTGACCTTAAAGCACTCATTACCATACTTACACTGTGGTTTTCATGAATTCATAGAGCACCAGGGGGGAGCAAGTAGGGTCAAACTCTAATTCTTCCCACGAGCTGTATAGAAAGGAGAAACGCTTGCAGACAACAGGAAAGAAGGCCATGTCTTTGACTTATTCTGCCATAAAAAAGATTTACTTGGAGGGACGCATTAGTGGTGGCACTGTGTGAGACGTTAAGACTTTGATCATCTCTGGCTGAGGCAACTTAAGGTGTTAATCGTTTTCAAGCCATTTCAACCACATGACATAATCTTCCTTTCCTCTAGCGGAGCTTAGAAAAAGGAACGTGGAACCTTTTCTATGCTTAAACTTACAATTTCTACCTTCACTGGTTATTTAAGTTATTCTTACAATTAACAGGGGTTTGACCCTCAGGTTTCTACTGAAGTAGTGTTGCTGCCTACTGCCCCAAGCCTGGAGAGCATTTCAAGGCTGTAGTGAGCCCCTTTGTGAAAAACAAGCATATATATTTCACTGATCGCAGAAATTTCATCAATATAACTCACGTAAAACTTCTGTTCTTTGTCTAAAATTATCCACCTTGAAATAAAATTTCCAGTTACCTACTGAAACACTAATACTTCTGCAAAAACAGCTGTTCTTCAGATAATGCTTTTCTAAACGAATTACTCTGAACGAAAGAAAAAGTGACTGCAATTTCAGGTAATGAAATGAGGAAGGGAAAAGTTTTGTGTTTGAGAGCCAAAAAGAGACATATAGCAATAAAAATTGTTTAAATCAAAATATGCAAGAAAACTGTCCACCCGTTGAACCACTGACACATAAGAACCTTTAGAAAAAGGGTTTGGTTTTTTCCCTGAAGTGAGGATTACATATTTTGACAGTGGCTTAGAACACATAGATAATATTTAACATGGATAATGGTTTCAATATTATTTTAAAAGTCTGCCATCACTTTTTCAAGATACAGAAAAAAGTGGACATGCTTTTTAATAAAGATAGTATACAGTTCATTCGGAGATAGGTCAATAAAAAGACCTCTGATCTTGCCTACATGTAGACACTTAAAATGCAGATGTTGCCATTTGAGTTTATCACTGTATGATCTTTTGTAATCCATGTTGAGAAATAAGCACTTCTATGTCACAATTCACTTGACTTACTTCCTATGCCTACCTGAGGATGACATTAATTGCTCTGTAGATTGTCTCTCTGCTGACTGTATGTGGAATCTAGACAATGAGTTCAGATGTAGACATTTACACTGTACACTACAGAGATTAAGCAAGCTCAGTCTCACTCTTGCTCTCTAAAAATTAAATTCACTGATTGAACTTTAGCCTAAAGTCAAGGAGGAGCCTAAAGTGGCGGCATCTGTACTCTGAGCTGCTTTGCCTTGCACAGAGTAGTCTCTCAATCTTAAAAATTAGTAATTTTTCATCTGAGATGGCAAAGGTCCTGGAGTAAGTATCATTCCACTTCTTTTAAACCAGCTTTGAATCTGTTCCAAATTAAATGGAGGAGATGGTGAAAGAAAACCTGTTGCATGTTAAATTAAAGCTAATTTACCCTTTTTTTTTTTTTTTTTTAAATCAACCTGCATCTTTTCAGAAATGCAATATCAATTTATATACAATGCGTATAAATACCTCCAGGAGAGTTCAATGAGACATACAGAGAATACGATAAAAAGGTAAGCAAGTTTATCAGTACATTTAAAATTATCTCCATCTCTTTGAATCACTTGCACACTAGGAAAATATGTAACCTCCATCACAAAAGCCTGATGTATCTTCACATCTCACTCAGAGAAAATAAGGCAGATACTGTTCTATTTTTCACACATCTCTGTCAGTAGATCCTGCTCTTGGGAAGTTTAACATCATCTATGCTTCTGTAAGACATGATCAGTTATGCACTGATGTAGACATGCACTCTTCTCTTGTGACTTTTTTTTTCTTTATTTCATGTGGTTTTGACTTGCAGTCATGAAATGTGATACAGAAAAAAGTTTTTAACATATATTGATTTGGGGTTATACTATATCAGTATACAGATAATACGATCTGTATTTTCATATAATTTTTCATATATTTTCATATTTTTCATAAATTATACTACTTCAGAGTGTATTTTAAAATGAATAATTTACAAAGCAATGTGATTAAGAGATAAACCAGACAGTCGCTGCATGCAGATGCAGTAACAACCACAAAACAGTTTGTAACATGGGACAACTGGTGGAATATCACGTCTTAGAATTTGTTTACAGGCCTAAAAAACTTCAAAACATTTTGTAAAAATTTCTCAGACAAAAAACAGGAAAAAATCTAATGGCTTATATGAGCACTTGAAAGGGTGAAGCTAATGTCAAGTTTTGAAGTCTCTTAAAACATCACACACAGAGCTTGCAGCTAACGCAACTATAGAAATTCCAGGGTAGAGTTAGTTCACCAAATGTTACTGTAAATTAATTGTCTTTGTGTTTTTTATGGAATCCAGTAAACAAATAAAATTCCATTTGGCTAAACTTGGTTTGACCCAACAAAAAAAGATCTACAAAACATAAAACAAGAATTGGAACTAGACATTCTTGAGGATAGAAGGTCATTTCAGTACTTAAAACGAACTCTCTGCAAAAATCCACAATACAGACACACATTAATTAAAAAAAATTCAAAAATCTTCCAGTAAACAAAACTATGATTTTTGTGGCATAATCGCCATACCAAAGCACAAGAATAGGTCTTTTTCAGCTAGACCTCCAGCCACCGTACCTCTTAAGGCTGTCTGTGGACAGATAGAGCTAGAGATTGTCTATTAATCTCTGTATGATGGTGTGTCATGAATGTTCTTGACTTCTTATTTGAAGTCTCACTAGTGTGCATTCAGCCCTTCACCTTTTTTAAGTAGATCCATTCTTTCTTAGCCAACACACCAGGCCAGGTTCTTTCTAGTAATGACTAGTCTTGCCTGCCTACAAAAAATGCAAAGCTTTATCACTTTTCTTCATATTTTAACAGCTACCAACTTCCATCAATGTTTCTGTTTCATGAATACTGCAATCATTTGTGATATCCCTTAACAAGTACTAAAGAGTAGGCGTGCCATGCAACTTAACTGAAAATATCAGATTTGCATAAAAGAATGCATATAATGTCAAAATCATGGCCATAGATGATAAAAATAAATTGAGTGCATGTACAACAAAGGTGACAAAACAGTAATGGCTTTTTCAAAATTATCTCAGTTTTTAAGAATTGTTCCTTCCTATGCTGTCAGATCTGAAAGGTCAGCTTGCATTCTAATAAGTATGGAAAAGATAGGTATTCAGCAGTAAAATATAAAGATATTAATTTTAAAGGTAAGTAAACAAAGAATGAAAAGTATTATCTTCTTGGAAAGAAGAAATGTCAGAGTGGAGTGAAACTAATAGCAGAGTTCATCAGGAATCAGTTTTTGGATCAGTCTTGTTTAATAATTTAACTAATGTCCAACACATGCTGATGACACAAAGTTGGAAGAGGATTGAACATCACACTGAAAGAACTGGATGGTTTTGAGGAAAGATGATGAATTTTAATGGAGCAAAGTGCAAGGTCAGCCACTCAGGGACCATAAATAAGAGTAGCTGCCGTAAGCCAAGAACTCCTAAGTTGGGAATAACCAAAGAGAAGAAATATATGGGTTTATAGCTGATCCTTGGATAATTATGAACCCCCAAGGTGACACAGCGATGAAACAGACAAATACCATCCTTGAACATATCAGGCAATACACTTCTGGTAGATAGAAACTATGACTGACATATAAGACATCAGTCGGATATCTGATGTCAATAAGTGGGACCTTAGTCAATCACCTTCAGAAAAAACAGATTGAGGGAGAAATAGGTCTAGAGAAGGACCACAAGCATGTTCACAGAGCGGGGAGGCTTTCAAGACAAGGCTGAAAGAGTTTGACTTTTCTGGTATTGGAAAAGCAAAGGCTGAGGTGGGTTATAATTATTCTCTTTCACAACTACAGGAAAGGTCTGATGGACGTATAAGAGAAGATTCAGGGAAGGGAACTGCAGACTGCTCTAAGTCACAGTGTCATGAAGCAGCGTGACAGTGAAAACTACTGATCCAACCAGTTCTCTGTCAGCTCTCACAAAGCTATTGGTGCTACTGGCCACGGAGAAAAAAAAAAAAAAAATTAAAAGGAACTTTAACCTACAGATTCGTCAAAAATTAATTTGGTTGAGGAAGGGCTATGCTGCAGAGTTCCCAAAGTCTGAGTGACTGAGGAAGCACCAGGAAAGGTCTCAGTGATGATATACCTAGTTGTTAGGTATGGTGCGAGGTAACCCTGATTAAGTTGTGCTGAAGAAGTCAAAAATGAAGACTCAAAAAGAACAACATATATCAGTATTTCTTTTTTTATTATTATTTACTTATCTGTTATCTCTTGAAGTTTTATGCTATGCCTACCAAAATGGTCTGTGAATAATTTCTTCCATTAGAAGACGTAGTAGTTCAACTAAAAGACATTTTTAGAAAACATATATAAAGAAAAGCTACTAATGGGATGTGGTGACTGAAAGGCTTATTCCCACTATTGAAAAACTAGGACAGGTGATCCAGATATTATACCTTAATTTACTATCTCCCACTATGATAAACTAGAGAAAAGTCTTACTTTTGTCTGCATTCTACAATATGCAATTGCTTCTAAACTGCATAATATAAGAGAAACCTATTGAAAATGCTTCCTAAAGAAAAAAGAAGAAAAGTTTGGATATCAAAGTATTCTTAAAGAAACTAAAATTAGAAATAGTTATTATAGGAAATACTAACATTAAAACTCCTTGATTCTAAATAGTTTCAAGCCTAAAAGTTATAAAGCACTACTTCTTTCACTCATATCATTTCATAGTACAAAATTGTATTTTTGCTTAAATTCTAACATAGTTTC